ATCTTATCAGTTCAGTCTTATCTTATCAATTTAATAGGATAGAGTAGTAGATTAGCAAGGAGTCTTCCTAAAAGTAGGATTCTACCTCTTGCAATCTCCTATTTAAGGAGCTGATATTATTCAATAAACATATCGAAAATTTCAGTCAAGAAAGAGAACAAAGGAGAGTTGGTGATCTCTTGAACAAATCACCTTTTTGGGCGGCAAGATAGGTTCTTTAAGAAAAGGGAGGAACAAGGGAAAACAGGAGGTTTTCCCCGTGGACCGACCCGTGACAAGATCCTATTTGCGGGCCCATAACAACTCCACTGTCGTGAGACCTAAAGGGTGCAAGGGGTTGTACCATGTCAAGAAGAGAATATGAATTGTCAGAATATGATAGTGAACAAATTGGAAAAACAAGACTCAAACCAACATTAAAAATACTAGAGAACCGAAAACATCAAGTTTCAAAGAATTCAAATGGTTGTCAAAGCAAGAAAAATGAAGTTAATGCACTCGKAGGTCTACATATCAATGTGGAAAGGAAAGAGGGTCTGTTACACTCTGGAAGGAATGGATCCAGAACTAAATCCTATCAACAAGAGAAACCGGTGAAACTGCTGGCATGGAATGTAGGGGAGTGGGGAGGCCCACTCTCAAGCATCAAGTCAATGAACTAATTCGTGTTYATCATCCTGCTATTTTGGTTTTGTTTAAAACTAGAGCCCAATCGCTTAATGTTAGTAGGCTTGCTAGTCGTTTACATTTTGATCAGTGGTATATTATAAACCCAGTGGGGTTTGCTGGCCGTATTTGGCTAATGTGGAGAAATGATATGTGCTATGTTGATGTTATCATAGATTTATTCATTGCTTATGCTTAATCAAGGACTGTGAGCTTAACTTAAATAGGAGTTGTACTCTTGTCTCCCCCCAACCCCAAAAAAAAAAAAAAAAGAAAAAGAAAAAAGGAGTGATCAAGGAGTGGCAGTGCTTGAGAGAAATTGCAAACTTGACAAACTTGCCATGGATGGTCCTTGGAGATCAATGCAATTCAATATCCTAGTGATAAAATTGGGGAAGGAGGGTGATGCCTAGCCAACCAAGGGCTTTCAATGAAGTTATTGATAATTGTAATTTGATGGAGTTAGAAACGAAAGGTAGTAAATATACTTGGAGAAACAAGGTTATTTTTGAAAGAATTGATGGAACCTTAGTTAGTGGTTCATGGAGAACATTGCTTTACCGATTCTTAAAAAACGGTTCATGCATGGAGAACACTATGTCCGAAAGCTTATAATGAAAACCTACCTTTCTTAAGTTAAGATCACACTCCTATTTTGAATAATACTGGCCACAAAGTAGACTTCGGGCCCAAACTATTTAGGTTTGAAATGATGTGGGAGAAGTAGAGAACAACCAAGACCTAGATAGAGTTATTGCTAGATCCTAAAATCAGTGAGATGTTGGATCGAAAGGCCAACAATACTTAAAAARGAGAGACAGAACAGTTGAAAAAAGTTGGAACATACTTTTGGAAACATTCTATAAAAGACGAGAAAGTTAATGGATCAACTAAAAGACACTCAAGAGGAGCTAGCTTTAAATCCRGGGAAAAGAGAGACTGTGAACAAAGAGGCAGAAATCCAAAAACAGCTAAATAATGCGAGSCTTATGCTTATTTGTTTTTCAGGTGCGTGGGGTCACTCCATCCCACATCATTCTCGTTGCTAATTGTATCTCCCAATCTATCAAAAAAAAAAAAAAACTAATCTTTGGACCCAATGGAACAAGATGTTCACTTTGGCAGACAAAGTCCCTGACTCTCTGACTGGCAGCCAAAGACCTACAYAATGAAAGGAGATGTTCACTCTAGACCCAATACAAGTTCCTTCTTTAGTCTCTCATTGCCTTCCCTTAGGGAAACGAAAACCCCAATGCTCAATATACTCTTAAAAGTACACTCTCTGACCAAAGCATTTGCAGCATCACTTGTTTACTCAAGTAAAGTTTTAGCAAGATATAACCTTCACTTAAATAGAGATATTTTATGGACATAGRAAACCCTAGACAACAGCACAAGTAAAGTAACAGAGCACCATTTTTTATATGCAGTGGGAAAATGACAACAAAAGTCTTTTTGGCATCACCTATCTTTCCTAGGCTGAATATGTGGTTTCTGGTCTACTTGAGTTTGGAAATARTTTTCTASTTTGAGAAAACAACAATATTAATAGGCAATAGAAAATTGATCCATTATTTTGCTCTGACTCAAGTTTGCTCTACTCTCCATTTAGAAACTGACTACAAGCATAAGTAAATATCCTCTGGGCGATGAATAAATTTCAATATTTAGCCCATGATTAAACCCTAATGGACCATTTTTTTATGTTGAAAATGCAGAGGAAGATCAATAAGGCGCTGTAGCATAAAATTTGCGACTATCACTTCATAACAAGGAGAGAAGGAAGCTAGAAGTAGATAGAGAGAGATAGAGAGATTACATACCGGTAGAGATTGAAGGATCGGAACGGAGAAAATAGGTGGTTGTCAGGAGTTGCAGTCGACCGGAACCGGAGGGATTCGTGACCGCCGATGCCGAATATGAAATAAGGAACCCTCGGAAAAATTAGGGAGTGTTTGGAATGATTGTGTTTTGCCTCAATATGCAGAATCTGGATTTGCCCCACAGAGTGCGTCCGAAACTAACCTCACATCACATTGGTGGCATCGCAGACTTGCATAACATCTTAATCAAGTATAAGAGATGTTCTCAATGCAAATTTGCTAGTGGGGCGTGACAGAGATCCGCTACTATCAGGGCAAATCTGTGCCCACACTGTTCTAACAGTATTTTGCAACCTTGCATTGCATTGAGAATATTTCCCTATGAAATAAAGTATATAAGTATKAAGATATTCTCAATATAAGGCAGTAAAAACTGCTCGAATAGGCTTTGCCCTGACTGAAGTTGAACTTGTCAACAGAATATATTTCAACACTCTTCCAATTGTTTGATTGAGTGGAATTAGAATCCCATTTCCATTCTTGTTGGAATGGCCATTCCTTGCTCCACCCTTGGGAATGAAATCCTATTCCTGTTGATTTCAATTCCCATTCTCATTCCTGTTTGAACCAAACAGACTATAGGAATAGACYATTCCGAGAAGGATTTTGGTTCCAATTCCAATTTCAGCTGCAAAGCAAATGGACACAGAGAATCACGCTCTCTCCTCTCAAGTCTGTTTTTTTCTTTTTAATTATTAATGAAGTACCTATAGGCCAGAGAGAAGAGAACGCAATTCGCCAATGCCACTGTTAGCCATGTCTAATTTCCTCTTCTTTGTTTTTGTGTCTCTGCACTGTTGTTACTTGTCCAACCCCTCACTCTACCCTTTAATAAATGGGCACTCAGCATTCAAGTCAAGTGAAGGAGGTAATCAAGCAAAGTCACTAACTGTAACCACCATCCCTCCTTGCTCCTTGGTCATCCTTGAATTGCTCCTATGATTCTGGCACTCCCTCACCTCTCCGGCTTCACTTCTCTCCACCTAACCCACCTTCACCTCTCCCATAACTCCTACGTATCAATCCCCTTCCCCCTCTCTTCTCTCACTAACCTCTCCCCGGCCCAAACCATGAGAGTTCCCTTTCCAGTTTGAGAACCATCCAGCATCGACCTAAGTTTCAACAAGCTCACACTGGAGCTGGCTATAAAAGCCAATTCATTATTATCTGGACCTCTGTTGCAACCATTCATTCCAAGGGTCACCCTAATTAGAGGTGGTCGAGCTGAGCAGAGAGAAGAGATCAGACTGAGAGAGATAATAGATGTACAAGTAGGGGAGATGCTCCCCATATGCGGCTGGTTCATATTGTGAGGTCGGTGTGAAGAGTAGTCTCTGATGAATAGATCCAAACTCTTCTATGGGAGCCCATCCCATCTCGATTTAACGAATTGGAATCTGCTCCTCAGACAGGGCACCTCACAAACGACCTCACAGGCACATCCCACAGTGCAAAGGGAACATCTCCCGTAAATAATAATACATAAGTACGAGAGATGATCCTAATGTATGGTGGGATGTGCCTGTCAGGTCGGTGTGAGGTACCATGTGTGAGGAGCTGATCCGGTCTCCCATTTAACATGGCACATCTCATACATGGCGGGTCCAAGTCTTATGGCAAGATGGACGGTCCCAACTTTGTTGGCAAGAGATCCCAACTCGAATCAGGCAGCACATTTGACTAAGGTAGCATTATTCCTTTGCACTTAAACAATGATTAACCTATTAAAAGTAACATTTAGTATATTGTGCTTAGACCTATTTATGGGTCAGGTATCTTGACAGGCCAACTCGACTTGACATGTTCTTTATCATGCTTGGACATTATTTTAAGCCTACAGGCTCAGGCTCAAAATACTGTCTGACTTTTTTTAGGTCGAGCTTGGATTTTCTCAAAAAAGCTCAGCCTAAGCCTAAGCCCAATATTATTTTTTATAATAAAAAACATGTTTGATTATATTATATATATATATATATATAATATTTTTTTCTTTGTTCTTCTCTTTTCTTAAGCCATAATGAAATCCTTAAACATTTTTGGTTTCTAAGGTCATTTAAAATAAATAAATCAAATTTTATTGAGTATAAAATAAAAAAATATATCTTTTTTCCCAATTTATAGGTCAAAGGCCGAGCTTTGGRCTTTTATAGCAAGGTTGAGCTCATGCTCAAGACTTAGGCCCAATGTTGGGGCCGACCTCGAGCTCAGGCCTGAATGCATTTCATTAATAAAGAGGCAAAGCCTGACTTGGACCCGACCCGTGAACATGTCTAATGGTGTTATTCTTCTCCATTTAGCACCTTGAGATTCGAACCTCTAATGTTGACCCATAAATCGATTTATTAAATTGACCACATATTACCCCCCTTATTGTACAAGGAAACTATGGAATATGCCACTCTCGGATCCTCTTATCATTTCACATTTTTTTACTGTTATTTAATTATTTCTTTATTTATTTAATTAATAGTAATTAGTTAAAAAATTTATTTAGTTAAATAATTATTGATTTGTTCAATTAAATTATATTATTTAATTATATATGTGATTATTATCTAATTAATTTAATACTATTATAAATTTAATTATTTGATTATATAAGTTAAWAATAAAATAACTATAAAATCAAATAATTCAATAATATTATTAAATTAATTAAACTAAACATCTAAGCTTTTATTTAATATTATTTAATAATGTAAATAATTAATGTTAATTTAAATAATATTATTTGATTAATTAAATGTTTAATMATATTTAGTTATTTAATTATTATTTAATAATTAATATTATTTATCATTTTGRATACTATTATAAATTATTTAATATTAATTAGTTATTTGAAAAATTAAATACATAATAGTACTTGCATTTTTAAATTCTAAATTAATTATAGTTATTTATTAATTATATATTATTGTTTACTAATGATTGGTGGTTTGGACATTTTGGTAATTTTGTTTAATCAATTTAACATTTCCTTCCCACAAATTAATTCATTTTTTATTCCTTTCTAATCACTTCACTTTTTCGAAGCAAGTAATCAACTAGCGAAGGGGCCCTTGCTTTGAAGGGGTTGGATTGGAATTGTAACATTGTTATTTGCTACATTAAAAAGATAATGGTTTCTTAATAAGAAACTTTCAATTATAAGTACTCAAGTCTTGAAACTCATATAAAGACTTAAAAGAGACCATCATGTGCTYGTTTTTTAAATATTGCTTCAACAAAGCATCTCATATAAAAGAACATGATCATATAGTGATAGTTCTGAGTTCTACTTCATAGCTGTCATTTATTTCACATCGAGAACTCCCAGCTGATCGGACGATAGGACTGTTTGGCCTGGGAATCGTCTAGGCAACCGATTCCGTTTTACCCAAAACCTAGTCCTTGGCCAAAAATCGTTGAATAATTGTTACTTGCCAATGTACTATCACGAGTAAAATTATTAGTTGTTATTTCTCAAACTCATCATTTATAAGGGTACAAATGGACCTAATCATTTATAGGGGTGCAAATGATCCGATCCTATTTGGTTGAATTCGGGTCACCCCTATTCGGATCTTCGGATTGGATAATAGGATCCGATTAGAAATTGGATCGGATTCTGATCACCCCTATCCTATCCGATATATATTATATACTTATAAATATATATATATATATAATACATATATATGTTTTTTATTTATTTATAAATATATTTTTATAAATTTGTTATATTATTTATTGACTTTATAAAAAKACATGTATATATATGATGAAAATAATTAAAAATATTTGTATTTTTGTTTTTACTTTATTTAAATTAGTATATTTATTTTTCTTTTAATAATTATTAATTTTTAAATAAAACAAGTCGGATCGGATTAGATCCGAATAGCTGACATACTGATAGGATTCAAATTCAAATTGAGTCCTATCAGATTTGATTGGATCTTCAGATCGGATCGGATCCAACATAACTATATCAGATTGGATTCGAATTACCTTGATTTGAATACGATTCGATCCATTTGCATCCTTAATCATTTATGGTGATATTTGACATCAATGTCGATTTCCCCAAAATCAGTGCTATGTTGGAGCCATGTCAATATTTTAGGAATTGGTATTGAAATTTCTGTTTGGTTGATGATTTTCGAAAAATTGGTAAAAAAATCAATTCTTTAAATCAGCCCTTTTCAAGGATCACCATTTTGGTAATTCCTTGATTCCCAATTGTTTCTTATTTTTTGAGGATGACATGGCATGGAATAATAGCTCTAATGCAAATCATCTCTTGAGAATCAGTATGGCAAAAATGATACAAAATAACAAAATGCACTATTTTTTAAAAAATCAGTGGTTTCAAAACTCATTGATTTTTGAAAATTCGGTAAAAAAGAATCAGCACAAATGCCAAACATCACCTATATCTCAAAACAATATTTTCTACATTTGGATGTCAAAAAAGAAGCAAAAAATCACAAATTTTCACTATACTAGTGGAATGGCCCGTGCGGTGCATGGGATATTTGATATTGATGGTGATGTTTGACTATGCTTTTATATTTCGGGCATAAATGAAAGTTCACATATCGCTAAAGTCCTAAGACAATTATATAATACATAAAAAAGACTATCCTCACAAAATGCCAATATCTGAATTTTATAATATGCATAGAATGTTGGTTGCAAATGCATCAGATTGAAACATTAATGCATCAAATCAATGATAAAATTACACTCAACAACATTATATACAGATAAAATTCATCCAAAAATTTATGGAGAATAGGAGATGCCACTCTTAACCGATCTCCTGCTTTGTGATAACTAGACCTGTTCATGGGCCGAGCCCGGCCCGACCAACGGACCTACAACTTGGGCCCGAGCCCGGCCCTAATAAAAAGCCCGAAGCCCGAAATATAAAAGTGAATTAACAACCTTCTCAAATAAAGAAATTTATTCAAATGGACATCACATGGGGTTTTTACTTAGGTTTAACTATAGGTCGGGCCGGGCTGGGCTCGAGTCGGGCTATTTCGGCAAAGCCCGTGCCCGGCTCGAATTTTATGTGGGCTGGGCTTTTTGACCCAAGGTTAAACCTGTGGGCCAAAAAGCCCATTCAAGCCCGTCCGGGGGTCGGGCCAGGCCGGCCTGTCGGGCCACCCGGCCCATGAACAGGTCTAGTGATAACCTAAAACCTATGAAAATAATCACCATTAATAGTTATACCTAGAAACATTGAATACTATATTATCAACGAAATGAATTAAAAATGATTTCTATGAGGCTTAAACCTACTGGTCAACTTCTAACACTTAGACCAACTTAATTAATAGATACAACACAAGTGGCATGTGCATATAAGCAATATATATTTGATTAAAATCAAATTAGATTATCGCATATTGGATAAGGATAAATTTCCAAATGCAAATTTCAAATAATTTGATACCATTTGCAACCTAGGTACATTGCGGAAATCAGGATCTCCTACCCATGTCTAGCCACAACACTCTACCCCTGTGCATTGGGAACATCTCCCCATGCATAATACTATGCAGGAGGATAAGATGTTCTCCATGTGTGGCTGCGATGTTATGTGGGTAGATGTGGGGAGGGGATGCGGACTCACATTGAGGGACCAATAGTTGAAGTATAGGAAATGCAATTAAAAAAGATGTATAACAATATGCTTTGTATAAATACGGATACAATGGATAACTAAGATACACATAAATACGCTAGGGAAATTCAAATAAGTCCTAGAAATTGTAATAATAATAATAATAATAATAATAATAAACTTTAGATGATTATAAATAAGCTGTATAAACATAAGAAATGCATACTTCAATATTTTATGTGAAGTGTGAAATAGGACAAACTTGGTAAACATTGAAAAATGATGGAAGGAACTAAAATATGCATTGATATATCTCAATCTTTAGAAACTAATAAATATAATCTGTATTGACATTTATAAATATGTACATTTCAATAAATCAATTTTTAACAATTACACCAAAATATATATAAAAGAAAACTCAAACTTAAAAATTCAAAGAAGAGACTGATCCAAATCCATATTATACAAAATTTAACTCGAATTATTCAAAATTCAGAGAGATATATATCAAATTATCATGAGTGTAAGTAAAATTTCTATAAAAAAAAATTATCAAAGATAGAAGTATGATTCCAATCCATCATAACACTAACTAAATACAAGTTTCTCAAAAAAGAATCAAACATTCATCAACAACCTCAGGATTGCACTGCTTTAGCTTTCAACCTATTCCTTGCAGATTTTATTACAATGGAGACATGGGTAGAAGCCATTGGCAGGGACAGCAAGCCTCTTGTAGAAGCTTCTCCTTTTGGTGAGCACTCGTCATGTAACTGGATCACCATGTTTTCAAGCAATGAAATTTTTGTTAGGAGTAACTTGGCAAACTCTATTTCAAGCACATGCCCTCTGAAACCCTTCATCTGCACTCTTCTCAAGGAATATGAGATCCAGTACTCCCGCCTCTCCCAAAACTGAGACACTGGATATGGTAGACAATCGTGATCTGATTCAGACATCCTTCCATCATCAATCTGAAAGAAAGAAAGTTTAGATTAACAATATAATCAATACTTAAGAAACAGACCTCAAGATTAATTCAAAATATATATTAGCTAGCACTGTCTCAGAGCTCACCTCAATATTAAGTTCTTGAAGACAGAAGCACCATCTAAAGAAGAATGCAATTATAGTAGCCTGCCTTACATCCTTCAAATTAACCTTGATGAATAGTCTCCTCAGATTATTGAATGAACATGTGTACTCATCGTCATAATGAAGATTATGACTGGTACGAGGTTTCTGTGATCGATGAAAAAGTAAAGAGATTAAAAGTATGAGAAATTGATCGACTCGATCATCATGCATGAAATAGCAGTTTACATGGAGGAAACAGAAGCTTACCACATAGAGACCGCTACAGGATTCGAGAATTTCTGCAGTTTTCGTATATCCGCCTCTACCAATCATGAAGTTCCTACGAAGCAGCTGCTGATTATTAACCATGCGGAACTCCCACTGATGATTTGGAAAAAAGTTCTGACCCCCTTGATGATTGATGCGAAGTTCTGTGAGCTTGGGGGTATTAAATCTGAAGCCGTGTGGACAGTGCACAGTATCAATCACCAAGCTTGCAAGATTCATGGCTTGAATATCAATTTCCTCCCATTTGCAGATGAAGAAACTAATCTCTAAGCTCTTGAGATTTCCGCAATTAATCCAAAGCTTTGATAAACCACAGCACTTACTCAGGATCAAGTTCTCTAATGCGACGCAGTTAGATATGATTTTATTGAGAGTATCATCCGAAAGGCAGACGCTCTGGAGATTCAGAGTTTGGAGGTTCGCACAATTCTCAAAAGGGGAGGCATCCCTTAAGAAGTATTTATTCAATTCAAGCACACGCAGAGATTGACAACCAAAGATGCCCGGCGGTAGGTCGTTTGATATTTGTTCTTGTTCAATAATTACCGGGAGGAATAGTAGATCACCCAGATCATGAGGATCATCAACGCAAGTGAGAGCAAGCTCCTGAATTCGTCGTCTCCTATCTCTCAGGTGTTCAATCCATCCTTTCACGTCACCATTTTTGTTATGGCTTAGATAATGGGTGATCCTACAGCTACAGATATTACCACAGTGAAGTGAAAAGACGCAGTTGATAATACGACTGACCTGATCAAGACTGTATCTTTTCTCTGTGAAAGAATCAAAATCGATGTGCATTATCCACCTCCATAGATGCTTCCATCGCCGTGATACTGCATCTGTTCTTACTGCTTCTTCGATGGGCAGCCTTGAGATTATTAAGCTGAGAAGTGAAACGGGTAGACGGTTTATTATCGCATCAGTCACTTCCTTTTCTTCTTGCAAATCTTCTTCTATATCCATGTATACGATCTCCATCTCTTAAACAGAACGAAGTAGAAGAGAAGAAATTAAAATGGAAGCAAAGCCTCTGTGTTATGTCAACACAAAGAAGAAAACTCTTTTTACGAGCCCAGCTTAATTTATTTCCTTAAATAGGAATAAGAAACCTAAACCTAAACGAACTCGACCTCACAAAATTATATACTTTCCTTTCTACACATGGAGTTGCAGTCATAAATCATAATCAAGAAGTCTATACGTAGAAATAGAGTTCTGTTCGAACACGCATTGAGAGGAAGAGGAGGGAGTTGCTGGGTTACTATAAATTGAAGAGACCACCGAAAGAGCGTTGGCATCAAAATCTTCAAACTCTCTCTTCTCCTCCTCATCTGTTTCTACTGCAATGGCCTCCTCCTCCTCCTCTTTGCCGTCGCCCTCGTCCTCGTCCTCGTCCTCGTCCTCGAAGAAGCTCGTCCTGAGGAGCTCCGACGAAAAGCACTTCGAGGTCGACGAGGCCGTCGCCCTTCAGTCTGAGATGATCAAGCAAATGGTCGAAGATGGTTTTGGTGGCGATGTGATTCCGTTGCTCAACGTCAGCAGCAATATCTTATCCAAGGTGATTGATTATTGCAAGAAACACGTGGACTTTGATTCCAAGAAGAAGATGGACGATTAAAGGGAAGAAACACGTGGACTTTGATTCCAAGAAGAAGATGGGACGCAGAGTATATCGACGTCGGTGTCGATGAACTTTACCATCTTATAATGGCTGCCAACTACCGTAATATCAAAGGGTTGTTGGATTTGACTTGCCAGAAGGTCGCTGATACGATTAAAGGGAAGAAGCCGAAGCAGATTCGGATAATTTTTAATATAAAAAACGACGTTACGCCTGAAGGAGAACAGAAGATACGAAAAGAACACAGTTGGGCTTTTGAGTGAATCTCCGATCAAGTAGAGATCGGCAAGTGCCCCAACCCGTCTTAAAAGATACATAATTAATTTTCAAGCCCGACCCAACCTAATAGGGTCTAATCCGATACCAACCCGACCCGACTAGTGGCATTTCAATTGTATTTTTCTACATGTTTAGAGTTTTTCCATTTAAAAGGAAAAAAACCAAAACCTCAGAACACCAAGTAAAAAAATTAAAAACTTGTGCATGTCTTTATACAATTACTCTCGCTTAATACCACCATTTTCTTAACGATTCAACAAACAATAATAATTTGATATTTCTTTTCCTCATAATTGTAGTACATATAACAACTGCATGAACAAGTAGATTATAAGTTAATGATAATGTGGCTGTTCATTAAATTACTCTGGTTAATTAGGGTGCAGCAATTAACATATCAGTTGTTGAGGGGGTAGTACTACTTGGCTTAGAATATATAATGGCACCGGATTCCTCCATCAGGGTTGGAAGGAGAAGTTCTTGGAGGCATGGCATTTGTCGACGGGCGTTATCTCGGGACTCCCTCCCCCATGGTTGGGTTCATCATGTGCGGGGCCAAGGTCATCGACCTAGAGCTGTGTATGTGCTAAATCAGGCTTGCGTTCCCTTGGACTTTTGCTTGTTTCCTTCTTTTTCTAAAAAAATACTATATGCCTTGAGTAGTCAAGGTCCCTTTTTGTTAATAAGAATAAAGCTTTTTCTATAACTCTAAGCTATTGCAACTTATCTCGCAAGATTCTTTAATTAGGAATGATCAATAGATGAGGCCGCTTGACCAATGCCTTTTACGCGACTTAGGATAGACAGGTAGTTGAAGTGGCCTGACCAAGGCCTTTACGTAAGTTGGTAGCCATGGTTGCTGGTTGCTAGACCTAGACCGGGGATTGCATAAAAGGTTCAGTTCTTTGATTCCTTGGTTGAACCACCTAGTGTCTTGTAGGCAAGTCACATTTTTGGTAGTGGATAAGTGGTAGGATGTCGGTGCGATGACTCAGTCACCATGGCTAAGGGTGAGAGCTCTACTATTCTGTTGAGCTGGCCTTACGGATGCAAATGGATCAGATCAGATTTAAATCGGGGTATATGTATGTATGATCCCATACTATAATCGTATATATGGTATGACCCAAAGATCCCATTGGATCTCACAAATATAATATTTATTTGAATCCTAATCCATCAAGAATGTCAGATATTCGAATCTAATCCGAGATTTAATTTAAAAAAAAACTAATAAATTATTAAAAGGAAAAGAAAATATAATAATTTATATAAAGAAAAAAATACAAGTATTTTTCAACTATTTTCATCATATATATATATATATACATGCTTTTCATAAAAATAAATAATATAAAAATTACATAAATTCATATATATATATATATATATATATATATATATATACATAAAGTAATAATTTTTTATCATATTGAAATTTTAATTGAATCAAATAGGACTAAATCCCTTTATTAGTCGAATGCAAGTTCTAACATCTAAATCTGGGATAATTGAATTTGAAGTCGAATAGGGTATCAAACTTCTAGAGTCCATTGGCAGCCCTAGCTATGTACTATACAAGCTGGTTAGGTGCAATTGGGTGGGTTGGGTTGAAGGTCAACCAGGGACCAACCCTAAAGGTGCAAATCTTTGGCTTAGGGGTGGATTTGAGCCAAGCCGAGCCGAACTAAATATTTGGCTATTCGAGCTTAGGTCGCCAAAAGACCATTAAGCTCAAGATTGAACTTGATTCAAGATAGACTTGAGGTTGAGTTCGACTTGACTCAAAAGCTCATAAGTTCGAGCTCAGCTCAGCTCGAGCTCGACGGTGAGCCAACTTTCCTATAAAAATAAAGAAAATATACAAATAAAAAAAAAAAGCTCTACTTGGCTCAACTCAACTGTGATCCAAGTTTCCTATAGAAATAACAAATTATACAAATAGAAAAAATAAGCTCGACTTGGCTTGAGCTCAATTTTGAGCCAAGCTTGCTATGAAAATGAAATATTATTTTTATTTAACATATAAAAGCAAGAATTGTAAAAATAGTTATTATCATACATATAAAAACCAAAATTATTATTATTATTATTATTATTATTATTGTTTTTATTATTATCCTCTATAATTCTGATATTGCACAACAATTGAAGAAATTAAAATAGAAACAACAACAGAAAATGGAAGCTAGCAAATCCTTTGTGTCTGTCAACAAAAAGAAGAAACCCTTCTACGAGCCCAGTTGTTTCCAAATTACCTTCCGCATGCTTTCTGTAATATCCATGTCGATTTCCTATATGTAATTCGTCAGCCCCTTCCCAATCGAACTCAAATTTGATCCTCACAAAATTGTCGGTAACGCCGTCCTCATATCACTTTACAACCATGCATTGGGAATATCTCGTTGCATGTTTTTATTCATAGGAGATATTCCCGATGCATAACTGCAAGGGATTGTGAGAACAATGTTATAAAGAGCAAATTCGAACTCAACCTAAACAAAGACAATCCTACACAAACACGAAGTAATATGAATTCCTCTACAAGGACTTAGACAACATGCTACTAGGGCTGTAAATAGATGGGATTCGGATTGGAATTAGTTGTTTCCGTATCTACATTCGATTATGAAACTTCTAAATATGCATCCACATCCAATTATCATGTTAGATTTTATATCAGATTTTGATTTAATCCACAATCATCTATCTCGTTTTGTTTAAAATGACAAAATTTTAAAACTTTGAAAATTTTAATTATTTTTAATTAACTTGTATATGCATAATAATGTATATAAATATAATACATTAAATATATCAATTATAAACTTTATACAATTATATATAATATCTTTATATACATAATTATATTGTATAAATATATAAAATAATAATTTTTATTTGATTTGGATTTTAATCGGATTGGAGGGGGTTAAATCCGCATCAGATCTGATTGTTAATCAGATGCAAATTCTAACATCTAAATCGGGGATAATAGAATTTAGAGTCCATTGACAGAATTCAAATCAGCCCCCCACAATGTACCACAGCATATTCCTGCCGTGTATTGGGAACACCTCTCGATGATAATACCTGAAATGATGAGATCATCATCAGAAGATATTTCCAATACACGGTGGGGATGTATTGTGGGACATTTGAGGGGGGGAGGGGGGGCTGATTCGGTCTCCCATTGACAGCCCTAGCTATGTGCTACACAAGTTGATTGGAGTGCAATCAGGTGGATTGGGTTGGTTTAGGTTCAACTCAAAACCAACCCTAAATGTGCAAACCACGGGCTCGAGCATGGTTCAACACGAGGTCAAATCAGAGATTATCAACCCAGCCCAATCAATGCCTACCCAACACTACTCGGGCTGGGCTTGGGCAGAGGTTGGGTTTTGTCAGCCTTGGATGGGTTAGTTGGGTTTGAAAGAATTATAAATATAGTTTTTTTAAGAGTATAAATGTTTGAAAATAACTACAACCATCGTTTTGTACAAATTTCATTTGTAAATGTATATATGCCTAGTTTGTAAATATATATATACCCTAGCCCTACATTCTCCTTGACTTTTCTCTCCTCTTTCCTTCCCACCACCCCCATTAAGCCATGTCACCATTCCCAACCCAACTACCTAATAGAAATTGAAAACCGTTTAATTAATTTCTATAAAATTGAGAATTATATTTAACAATTATCAAAAAGTATAAAATTTATTATTATAGCTAATACCAAATGTAGATTGGGGAATAAAATATTATAATGTTGGAAAATGAAATTATTAATTATTTTATATTGGAAAATAAAAGATAAGTTAGTGTAATTTTGTTAGTAAACTACTTAATAAAAATTTAAAATAATTTTCAATAAATCTCCATAATTACACAAATGTAATAAAGTTTTCAAACATTTTCATAAAATAACATTTTGGAAATTAAAAGATATAATATTTTACTTTTGGAAAAAAATTGAAAGTTTATTTGGACAAAAATTGAAAGTTTATTTAAAATGTATTAAATAATTATTGGAATATTTTGGAAATTTTAGGAAATTTATTACATTTGATAGATTTTGGAAAACTATTGAAAAATTGTGTAATTTTCATTGTAAATTATTAAAGATAAATGTGTATGGGAAAGGGATAATTGTAATTTGAACCAATAATTACACAAATTTTTAAGATAAATTAGTATAATATTGGAAAATATAAGATAAATTAGTATAATTCTGTAAGTAAACTATTTAAAAAGAAAATAAATTATTTAATAATAATTTAAAAATAAATTTTCAAAATTAAACAAATTTAATAAATTTTCCAAAATTTTCATAAAATTATATTTTAAAAAATTAAAAGCAATTTAGTGTACTTTTAGAAATTTATCATGTGGTTGATACTCAGTATATCCTTTTGATCATTTTTGTCATCAAATTGAATATTGGATTGATGGGGAGTGGGTGCCTTACCTTGAACCCGCCCGACACTAGGGATGGAACAGGGAAAATTCGAGGATTTTGCATCCTTGATGAGGAGTGGGTGCCTTGCCCTGAACCTGCCTGACACTGGGGGTGAGGCGGAGATGGGGTAGAGTGTCTTGACTATGGAGTGGGGATAGGGATGGGGTGCCCCGCCACAAACTCATCCCGTTGCCATTCCTATATGACTTTTAATTATTAGTGAAATTAATAAAAATGTTAGCTTTTGTAATTATTTTTATTTATTTAAAGTCAATCAAATTTTCATTTAAAAATACTGAAAATAATAATGATTATTAAAATTACTACAAATGATTAATAAAATTAAATTTATTAAAAAATATTTATTTATATTAAATTAACAATAATTATTTTGTATAAATCAACATTAAATAAAAAATACAATTATTAAAATTTTAAATATTAACAATAAATTTGAATATTTTTATTTAATTAACAACAAACTTTGTTTATTAATTTATCAATTAATTAATAGTAAATAAAATT